TGTTCTGACATACAACAATTACATCTAAAGACATACATAAAGAGACATTTAGATTTTCAGAGCTAATAAATCCTGCTTTGTGTTGCAGAATGTATGAACCAGTCATTTTAGCTTCATGTTAAACTATGTTGTGTTAATTCTGACAATCTCCCTCTCAAATGTAAAACATATTCCTTGTCTTATTTAATATCTGAGCGAAAACTAATTTTAATTTTATCATGTTTATGAAGCTCGTATTTAGGGAGAGGGATCGCCCAGTTTAAATGTCCAGTCTGTTCATTTCAGTTTGGCCTTAACAGAGCAGATGTTTAACTGATGTTTGTTTCAGATTGTTTTTGATGAATTTACATTTTATATATCCAGGGATGCTTCAACATGTTTATATTAAAGATCAGCTGCAGAAAGAATAGGAGTGTTACATGTGGCGCTGTGTGTGTGTGTGTGTGTGTGTGTGTGTGTGTGTGTGTGTGTGTGTGTGTGTGTGTGTGTGTGTGTGTGAGCGAGAGTGTGTGTGAGTGGGTGTACATATACATCTGTGTGTCTCCACGTTTCTTTTGGACAGTGAGTTCCAGTCTCATGCAGGCATGCATGATACAGAGATGAGTGTGTGTGCGTCTATGCGTGTATGTGTGTGTGTGTGTGTGTGTGTGTGTGTGTGACCATATATCTTATCTTAATTCCTTTTAATTTTTTGATTGTGATGTGAGACTTTGATCAAACTGTATAGACCTGAAGAAATTTTACATGTGGAAGTATTTGGAGTTTTATTGTTAATTTTTTTGCTTGCTTCTGAGTGTGTGAGTGTGTGTGTGTGTGTGTGTTGCCTCTTCTCTTTCCAAATCAGAACGAGGCGGAGTGTGTGTTTCTCTGTCTGTGTGTGTGTTAACCTTGTTGTTGACCAGTTGGGTTTAAAGTTTTGTTTTGTCTTTATTTGTTTTCTTGCAGGACAAACAGATGAACAGGACGATGTGACAACAGCTGTATACGTTCAACACTGTTTCACTCAGCTGGATGTGATACACACATACAGGTGATTTTATTATATGTTTCATGTTATATGATACAAAAACAAATTACAGTCAGTAACTTATACGGTAAACTGCATAAGTTAAGTTCAGGCAAACATGAATTATACTTTACGTCCTAAATTAGCGACAAAAAAACTGTTAAATATTATTTGACAAGAGACACAGCTGATGTGAAAAAATATCCATTAGGCCTCATTTTTTTAAGGTAGAAACTCATATATTTAATTTCCTATAGACAAATTACTGCGGGTCATTTCTCTGCTCTCAGTTTTCTAGCATTTATTCATTTAAGTTTTTCAAATAAAAACCTATATATACTGTATATATATATCTATATATAGATATATATATAGATATATATATAACATGTATATTTTGCAGGCATCTTAGCTATTGAAACCTACTGATATTTGCTGTAATGTTTCACTCATCTTTATCAGCCCATAAATATGAAAATATAAGATATTTAAAGGTTCAAATATGACTTTTGTCTAAAGAATAAAACTGGACTCCTTTCAATTGTGTGTGTCCTCAGATGCAGCTGCTGCAGATGTGCTGCTGGGATCAGATAGGGCTGCATAAAAAAAAAACACAAAAAAAACATATAAATCATAATTGTAAACGTTTGTTGTGTTATTACTGGGAGGCTGCACTCAATATGTGTTGGTTGTCAGATAGTTGTAATGCTTTGGATATGACTCTCTGGGCAGGAGCTGTCATTTTGTGGAGGTAAGGAAGGACAGTTAGGTGTGACTTTATTGGGGTCCTGCTGTGACTCAGACCCAGAAGGTTTTTTTCCTCCGTTTTTCCTCCTGGATATGTGAACTGTGACGGCAGATCTCTGGATGTGTAAAACGGGGATTAGGCTGCGTGTTTGCTGCGTTGAAGTTGCTGGGATGCTTCTTCAGGAAAGTTAGTCTTCAGGCTGAGAGGAGCACGTTGTGTCAAAGACGTTAGCGGTGAATATGATCAGCTCAGAGGGCAGAAACGGGGCTAAGAGTGGTCAGTGCAGGGTGGACAGTGGTGTGTAAAGGACGGGGGAGGAGTGTGCTGTTCGCTGCTCTCTGCCACATTTGTGTCTGATGCTCGCACAGATGTGGAAACAGCTGTGGAGGCCATAAGTCGATCATTTACATGTGACAGGTTTTGTAATAAGTGTTTCAATGGAGGGGGTGTTCTGTGTGTCGCTGTCCACTTCTGTGGTGCTGAAATGTGCGGTTGGGCACCACGAAGGTGAACAGCGACACATAAAAGACAATTAAAAGAAAAAGAAAACACGGTAACTGACTGTGGTCTGAACTCTGGAAAAGTCTGTGTATAAACTATAAAATTGACAACAACATTTCAGCTCATATTAACGTAATTTCTGAAAACAAAGTGGTTGAAATCAGTGATGACAGTCGGGATATTTGTTTATTCTTTTTTGTGAGCTGAGAAATTATCAGCACAGAGGAAATATTAATCCTGATGTGGTTATTTTCTCCTGTTAAAATTCCTGTAATTACTGCTCACCTTAAAAACTTCTGTTTCATGATTATCAATATAAATAAAACACGGTGGGGGTAACAAATGATTTGTCACGTTGCAGGGTCAAAGTGGACGGTCGGATTAGTGTGTGTGTGTCTGTGTGTGTGTGTGTGTGTGTGTGTGTGTGTGTGTAGGGAAGATGGGGCTAGTGTTGACTCTGATACGGTGAGAGAAAGAGTGTGTGTAAGTGTGTATATGTTGAGAGGAGGGGCAGAAACTTAAATGTGGGGAAAGCTTTGTGTTGTGGCATTTAATGGGAAGTGGTGTGTGCGTGTGTGTGAGTGTGTGCTTGTGTGTGTGTTTTTAGGGCTATCGATACTAGGAGGGGTAATTATACTTTTCGTGCACGCAAAACCAAAACAGTAGTTTGTGGTGTTGTTGTGGCACAAGCTGGTAAAAAAATAGAGAGAAATATCAAGAACTTTGGGTGTGTTTGAAATTAAAATAATAATAATAATAAATCTGAATCCTGTGCATTAAAAGGCGGTGATGTTGTGATATGTTTGTGCACTTTCTCTTCAGATCACACACACACACACACACACACACACACACACACACACATACACACACACACACACACACACACACACACACACACACACACACACACACACACACACACACACGTGGAGATTTTTACAGGGAATTTGTGCACAACTAAACCCACATTTTCTCTCTTGTTTCCAGCTGTTGGACTGCGAGGACACGACCTTAGAGTGGACTCTCAGAAACGTCCCGTAGGAGTGTGTGTATGTGTGTCTGTTTGTGTGTATCATTTGTGCAATTTCTTTCTTTCTTTCTTATTTTTTGATTGTTATCAGTTTAAACACACAGGCCACTTTTGTCTCTCTGATGTCATTTTGCTGGTTGTGTTACACTACACTGAAATGCTGTGTATTAACTGTTTACTGGGAAAATATTTGTGTGCAAAAAAACAAAACAAAACAAAACAAAAAACAAAACCCAAAAAACTAGGTCCACATGAGAGGCTTGATATATATCATTTTTTATTTCAGATGAATTTGTAATATTTGCTGTGCACTGATGCCAGAATTCAAAATGTGGATTTTTGTGAGGATTATTTTGTGAAAGATTTTTTTGTAAATATACATTTTTGAGCTGCACATTGTTACTGTGACAGAGTGACATCTGGTCGGTGATATGTTTAATTTCATCCCGTTTGAAATTGTTACACAACTTGCTGCTCCCTCCTGCCGGTGTCACGTTGACTCCGGTCTCTCCACTTGTGTCAAAGAATGCGAGCAGCTGCGTGATGACTGTCAGCGTGTAGACACAGTTTCATACTCCTTTCCCTCTGCTCAGTACATGACAGGCTTTGCCTTGTGCCACACAGCCTCGGTTTGTCAGGATTTCATGTTTAGTTTGGGTGTGTGTGTGTGTGAGAGAGAGAGAGAGAGAGAGAGAGAGGGAGAGGGAGCATGGCGGCTCAGGGGTGTGTGTTGGAGACTGTTGCAAATAGCCTCTCTGGGTCGGAGTGGGGAGCACACACTGCTGAGGAGAAAATCGTGACAGTGGATTGTGCTGAAACATCCTGCATCTGAAAGCGTGACTGACTTATTCATGTGCATAGAAATGTTAAAAAAAAAACAGTGAAATAAAGCGATGGAAATCCACATGTCTGTCTCTGTATTTATGTAACACACATCACATCTCATCTCTCTCTCCTCAATGTTTTGAAAGGGGAACTTACTACGATGGGTGCAATCTCGCGAGAGTCTGAAAAGCGAGCTGTTGGGCTGGGGATTGTAGTTTTTTTTTTTTTCCTTTTTTGGGGGGGAGTCTGTACTTCATCATGTTGCGACAGAGGCGAGCGTGGAAGAGCTTATCTGGCGCGACACGAGTGAATCTCAGCGCCATGATGCCTCGCTGCACCGGCCTCTACATTTTTCAGTGGTTATCAGCAGTATGATGCAGACTGCATACCTAAAATAGACGAGTGACTCACATCTAGGTGGGAGCAGGCTGACCTCACAGACTGGCATCACTTTAGCCAACAAACTGCCTCCAAACGCTCTCCGAGGGGCGGGAGGACGCGCACATTTTTCACCAATGAGAGCATCCTTTCATTCATAAAGTGGTATGGGCAGTTTTTTTTCGAAAGCGTGGGTTTGGAGGGTTTCATAATCCTGACTGAAACTGACAAACCTGTTCTGGCGAGAGCCAATGAAAGACCTCGGATGGGAGCTGCCGTAATGTTTGCCCAATCGCTCCTCATCCCGGTCTCCCTTTGACCCACCCTGCTTCATACAGAAAATCGAATGAATGGGGGAAGCTGTGGAGGTGATTGACATGCAAATGCACCAACCGGCGGGGCGGATCCTCCGAGAGACAGCTGCCGCAGCCAGTGAGGAGCAGAGGAGGGCGGTGCAGAGTAGGAGGTGGGCGGTGCACTTTAAATCAGGCTAGACAAGTGTTGGGGGAGTTGGGGGAGTGTGTGTGATGCTACAACCTCCTTATAAAGGGACTCTCTCTCACGTTGTGGCTTGGAAATTAGAGCACATTGCCTAAAATTGAGGTCTCCACATACACACTCTCACACACGCCGAGTCACCGAGAGCCGCTGCCATGAACTGGATGAACGCTGAGGAGATGCTCCGCAGGGCCGAGACGCCTCTCTTCTGGGTCGGCGCGTTAACTGTGGCCTCCCTGGCGCTGTGGCTGCTCTACAGGCTGCTCTCAGGCTTCAGGATCTGGGTCTTGGGAAATGGGCAGCTGCTCTCTCCGAAGCTGGGCAAATGGGCAGGTGAGTTGGGTCACATCAGTTTTCACGCCATCACGGTCACGAAGAGGGCAGCTCTTAAGTATAGGCAGGTGGACTCGACGTGCAAACACAAGAGTGAGGTTATTGAGCTCAAACTTCACTTTGGCACAAAGACCGGCTGCATTCTGGTGCGTTTTGTGTGTGTGTGTGTGTGTGTGTGTGTGTGTGTGTATGTGTGTGTGTGTGGCTTAATTCAAGGGGAGGCTAGTGTTGCGTAACAGGCGCAGGTAAGCAGCTGTTTGACTGACAATATAATGGTCCTTATTAGCTCAATTGGTTTTTTTTTCTCGCGTCAACCACAGCACCGTCTGCTGCCAGGGGCTCCAATCAGCGTTTTCACCCACAGTTGCAGCGGTAGGGGGATGCCCCACATTGGTGAGCCAGGAGCCAAATTGCGCAGGCTATGCGCACTTTTCAGAGAGCTGTTTTATGTGGGTGAGCTCTCAGCCAGCGCACTACTGAACCACATTAGCCCATCCGCATGATGTAGGACAAACCCGTATGTTCAATTTAAACGTGACCTACATCTAGATCATTTTCAGAGCTTTAGACTTCTAAAAAAAAAAAAAAAAAAAAATGTGTCACATTGTTGCAGTTTGTCCAACATTGAGACTCTTGTGTTAATGACTTTGTATATTAACACATTCAGGCGGTGTTTTGCTTTTGCTGCTGTCGTCGGGTTCTCCCTCACCATTCCCTCATGTCACATTACCTGTCCCATTCCGTTTGCCCTACATACTGTTAGATGAGATTACACTGTCCTTAATTGGATTGGACTCCGTATAATTCACTTTTTCAACGTGCTTGGCAAAACAGGAGCGAGTTGCCGGTCAAATCTAAGTGTATTTTGGTTTTGTAGCGACTAGTCTCATAGGAATCGCCCTGCCATGGCTTGACCCACTTCTCCAGTCTCCTATTTGGCGAAGACTGCTGCGTCTGGAGCCTCTTGCTGCGCAATTTGCCGAGCGCTCTCCGTTGCATCGGGATAGGTTGATAACCCCCCAACCCCCCCACCCCCTTTTATTTCTAATACCCCAAAACCAGGCGATCCGGACAATTGAATCCTTGTCCTTTTTTTTTTTTTTTTTTTTTTTTTTTTTTTTTTTTTTTTTGATAACCCATTTGTTTATCTCTGCACCGTGACGCACTTTGCCTCCAAATCGACGTTTTTTTTGTTTGTTTGTTTTTTTATGAATGGGCTGTTTATTAGATGCTCTGTGCACCAGGAAATGAAACGCATGACGCAAAGGTAGGGTGCCTTTAGGAATTACCAATCTACATGTTTTTTGGTTTTTTATTTATTTATTTATTTTTAAAGTGATTCTGCTGGAATATGCGGAGGAATACCGGTGCACACCGATGAGTCATGCGCTTGTTACTCGCTTCGTCATCCATTGGTCATATAGAGATTTTGATGATTTCCCCCCCCCCCTTCCACCTTCGCCACCCCCAGTATGTCAGATATAGCTCAAAATACGTAACCAGTAACCAGAAATGCTCCCTTGCTGCAGTTTTCTGTTGTATCATGGGTAAATGTAGTCCTTGTGATATTTTATTTCATAACTCAATTTCAAAAGTGTAGGAGATGCTACACCCGTTAGTTTTTTTTTTTTTTTTTTTTTTTTTAGAAAGGATTCTTGTTTCCCATGAAAACTGCTGTCCACTTTTTTCACACATTTATTCTTGTAAAGCCTTTTTCTTCAGATGTGAACTTCACTGCCTCTCCCTCGAACCAGTTTCTGCCACCAGTCCAGTCATGTCAAGTCTCTGAAGCTCATTTTCAATCACAACCGTTGGAACCTTGACAGGAAGTGAACAGGTGGACGGGGTTGGAGTGGAGTGGTGGTGGGATGAGGTGTCCTCCTCAGCTGGTTGTACCAGATGTGCAGGTCTGGCCAGGTTAGGAAGTGGTGTGATTTTTTTTTTTTTTTTTTTTTTTTTTTTTTCTCGCATATGCACTTGCGTCAAGTCTTGCTACTCCCTGTCTCCACCTTGAACTAAAGAACAGAGGCACCTGTTACAACACGTTAAACTTCCTCCAGCCATTCAATAGGCTTTGTATTGCTCTTTATATTTATACACAATAAACAACAAGAGTGCCATACTGTAAGTCCTATTGAGTTGTGGTGTTTAGCTGCTCTATAGAAACGGCATGAGACTGAGTTTGTAGGATTCAAAATCATTTAGTTTCTTCCACATCTCCCCTCAATCTTTTCTTCCCCTCCTTAGTTGTGCAGTTGTATAATATCTCAGGTCAGAGTTTAGCACAAACCCCCTGTGTTTATCCTGGCAGTTAATGTTGAGTGATATAAAGCTTGAAATGTTTTGCCTTAGGAAGTAGCTGTAAATCAATTTTCTTTTCTTTTTAAATACACCATTTCAGTAAATGTTAAAGTTGGATTAAGTCATTTTTGCAATCCGGTTTGTATTTAGACTTGTAGTTACTGACTGTGTGATAATGTTGGCCGGTCAGACAAAGAAA